ACACATTTTTTTTAGTCACCCTCCAGTGACTTTGGCTGATTGGAGTCAGAGCGCCCACTCTGACTCCCTCCTTACCTCCTTGGAGCTCTTCACCCGCGCGGCTCTCTTAGCTGGGAGGAAGTGACGACTTCCTCCCAGGGCCAGTGGGCGCTCTGACATAATCACTGGGGGCCCAGTCACGCTCTTAAAGCGCCCCAGTGCTAACCGTATCCCAGGTAATTCATTGCCATTGGGTGGCCCCAAAAGCATTGGCCCCTTTAATGCGGCGGTTGCGTGCGTAATCTCAGCGGGCACCACAGTTGCAGGGGGGGCGGCCGTGCCCCCTGCGACCACGGGAGTTCTGCCACTGCGCAGGGGTCCTGTTTGTGTCCCCGCCAACTTAACAGCACACAGCCCGGGAAACCACTCCAGATGGGGACATCTCGTCCACCCTGCCACAAGAGACAGAGCTGACAGGGGCTGCAGCAACAAGGTCCACAGCAGACAATAGAGAGGAGACCGGCGATGCCACAAGGGGTAGTATGGTCCGGTATGGAGACTGGAACCTCACTGCATCCAGAGCTTTGCTCCGGGAACCATTCAGAAGGATGTGATCCCAGCTCTGCAGCGTTCTCAGAGGGACAGAGCAGACAGCGGACCAGGCTGAGTCCCAGTCGCTGACGGCTGTGCAATCCGGCATGTGGGCCGCAATCGCACAGCAAACAGAGCTTTGTTCGGGGGCCCATCCAGCTCTGCATCACTGTCAGAGGGGCAGAAAGGAACAGTGGACTAGGCAGAGTTCCTATCAAGTCCTAAGTGCTGTGCGATCAGGTAAGGAGGCTGCAATTGGGCAGCCAGCACACTTTGCTCTGGGAATCGCCATGGAAGACGTGGTCCTAGCTCTGCAACTTGGGTGGAGAAGTTGTTTTTGGCTGGGCTAACAATAATTGAGCAAGCTGGAGATCAGTGAGGGTCCCAGGCCCAGATGGCCTGACACAGTCCCAGCCCCAACTGCCTGATGAGGAGGCCAGCAAGGATGCTACTTTATTTATTGTCCCTGGGAAGGGTTTCTTAATGTTTGGGTGGGCCAAGAAAGATTTCCCATTGTTTATTCCTCCCCCGGAGTTGCTCCACAACTTTTCCAGATCTGTCTCTGAAGACCTGATCCAGCCCCTACAAACATGAGAAACCTCCCCAAGAGTTAATGTATTGTTGTGTTAGTGTATGTCAGTGCATGCATCAGTGAGGGCGTGTTTTTGTCAAGAAGAGAAATTTGGAAGGGGGTGGGGGCGTAGGGCAGCATTTAGCCAGAATACACAACTGTCCTCATTTAATGCCCTGGGATGCCTCATAGGACTAGGATGGGCCTGGATGGAGGCCTGGAGCGACGAGCCCGTCTTCCAGCCTGAGGAGAAGCCACACCTGTCACTGGTACAACAGGCTGGAGATCAGGCAAGACACCCTGCAGCAAGGAAGCGTAGGAGTCCACTACATGGGTCCTATGGAAGGACTGCAACAGGGTAAATAAGGCTTCCCTAGTCATGTCAGCTTCTCCAGCTATTATCAAAGTAGGATATTAGTAGAAATTAATAATAATTTATTGAAAATGTGCTTATTTCTGCAGGAAATCACCACAGGAAAAAGCACCACCAGGATCCCTCGGCTGTGCTCCAGTAATCTGGTGAGTTCTCACAGAATTCCCGGCTCTGTAATAAACATTGTAACAATTTTGTTACTATGCCAACCTCTCTGGGCAGCAGCCATGCTCCCCCTCCTTAATCACTCCGGGGATTGACCTGTCTTCCTTATGAATATCAATACACTTATTTTGCCTTGATTTGTGTGTATGTTGGTTTCTTTGCATTTCACCCTATAGATGCTGCTCTAGTCAGCACCCCTCCTGACCAGACCTCTGACAGCCCCTTTGTGTGGGCACCCCAGCCCCTTTGTTTGTCTCTCCCCCAGCCCCTTTGCATGTCTCTTTTTCCCCTGCCCCTACATGTGTCTGTGTCCCCTTCCCCAGCCCAGCACCACCATCAGGGTGTCACAGGCCCATCTATCTAGAAGGGTCCAGGCTGCTCGGGAAGCTTCGAGCCCCAGTAGATACGACTGTTTGGGACCCAGTCACATTCCTAATGTGACTGGGTCCCAAACAATAATAAAAAAATATGGTCGGTCCTACACGTTTCGTCCCAAACAAATATAGGACTTCCTCAGGGACCAATGAGTAAAAACAGTAAGCACAATTGTAAATGCAGGTCTCTCAAATAGGGCTAATCCATGAGTCCATCTGTGATCTGGTGGGCATCTTCTTTCTTCTAATTGGACCTGTGTGGGTTGGAATCACCTGTTCAGCTTTATGCCATCTTCCTTCCATTCATCACAGCTGTTATTTGCATGTATTCGTGTAACCGGAAATGTTATGTATTCCAACAATTATACTTCCATGTGTTCCATATAACCTGAAGTGGTATGCGGTCCAACTGTAGTTTTCTGTGCGTTCCAAATCAGGCTTGCATCTATGATACCTAATAGAAGTATGAGGACCCACTAGAATTTCTCTTATAGAGAGAACAGTACAAAAAAAAAAAAGATAATTAAAATATGATACATAACTTATAAAAAAAGTGCATATAGATTCTCTATAATCCTTAGTAATTTGAATCTCCTTCCATTAATCAAAAAATGTTAGTTAATAAGTGAATTAGTGAGATATCATGCGTGATAATTAAATCTCATTTAATTTATCAAGTTACAAGTGCCTTATAATTTTGATACATTATAAATATACATTTATACATGGGTAACAATAGTGAAAAAAATTATACATAAATAACCAATTTGTATAATAATCTATAATTTATGGTAATAGCCATACATACCCACCCTAGCAATCTCAACCTTCACATGAAACAGACCAGAGCCACATCCACATTTAACCCTTGTGGTTCCAAAGTCTGCATTTTGTGGATCCAGTATGTCTCCCGTTGTGATAATTTTTGGACCTGATCGCACCCACCCCCCCCCTCCAATGGGGCAAGACTTTTTCAATCCCAATACATTTCTTTTGTCAAAAGAAAAAAAGGGACAGTTGTTACAATGAATCAGAACAGTTACAAGACCCTTTTTGATATTATTGATATGTTCCATGAGTCTTATTTTAAGTATTCTATTGGTTCGGCCGACATATTGTTTGCCGCACAGACATTGTAGTAAATACACCACAAAGTCCGTGAGGCATCCCACTTTTGATCTGATGTTGAAAGATTCACCCGTAACGGAACTAGTAAATCGGTCTGTTCTCTCTCTGTGTACTGTATGACATGTCTTACAGCAATTACAACCCCTAGTATTGCCATTCTTGCAGATTAAATTATCCTTTAGGTCCCTAATGGCATAACTAGGTGCCAATACATTTTTGAAATTTTGATTTTTCTGGAAAATAAGTTTAGGATATTCCGGTAGGAGGGTGTTTAAGTATAGGGTCCTGTAAGAGAATAGACCAATGTTTCTGTAAACCCCTCTTTATTTGTAAATGGTCAGAACGGTATTGGGTTTTGAAAGCAAAACTAAAATGGTCATTGGATGATTTGACACAGGGTTTGTCCATTAAATAATTATTCCTATCTGTTTGCATCATTAATCGAATTTCCCTTTCCAACGAGTTCTTTTCAAAGCCCCTCTCTAATAATTTATTCTTCATGTGAGTTGATTGAGATCTCAAATCATGAATGTGTGAGCAATTACGTCTTACATGAGCAAATTGCCCCTTCGCAATTCCCCTGAGCCAAGGACGGTGGTGACAGCTTTGGTGATGTACATACCCATTGCCGTCGATAGGTTTAAAGTAACAATTTGTTCTTATTTGATCATTTTCATAAAATAAGGTTAAATCAGGAAAATGTATTTCATTTTGGTTCCATATAGATGTACATTTTAAATTACATTGGTTCTGATTGAGATCATTTTCAAATAACTGAAAAGAAGAAAAAGACCCCTTCCATATAATAATGACATCGTCTATATATCTCCGCCAGAGCACCAGATTCTCCCTCCAGTCATGACAAGACCAAATGAATAGATCCTCCCATCTCCTCATATAGATGTTGGAATAACTGAGGGCGAACCTGGTGCCCATGGCGTTCCCCGTGATTTCTAAACAAAAGAAAAAATAATTGTGCTCCAAAATAAAATTAACTGAAATCAGAAACATACAGACACACATGCAGACAGACACATACACACAGGCATACAGACACACATACATACATACAAACAGACAGGCACACATACATACAGACACACACAGACACATACAGACAGACACAAACACAGGCACACAGACACATACATACACAAAGACAAATACATACATACAAACAGACAGGCACATATACATAGAGACACATACACACATACATACAAACACACGCATATACAAAATGTTTAAGTCACTCTCCTGTTTCCTACCTTTTAGCTGCAGGAGGGTGACTTTCCCTGGGGTCCAGTGGTGGCTCAGGTTGATGGGAGTCAGAGTTCCCACTCTGCTTCCTCCCACGCGGGCTCTGTGTATGCTGGGAGGAGTGACCGGGGCAGTCACTTCCTCCCAGCTCTGTCTGATCTCATCACAGGGGGCCCAGTCGCGCTGTTAAAGCGCCCAGTGCTGACTGGCCCCCTGAAAATCCATCTCCATGAGGTGACCCTTACAGCATGAGCCACCCAATGGACCCCTTGAACGGCGGCCCCGGCGTTTTGCCGCACGGGCCAGGGGCGCAAAACATGGAGGCTGATACCCCGTCGCAGGGGTCCGCAGGGCGGCCGGGCCCCTGGAGTGACGGACCCAGTCGCAGCTGCGACCCCTATATGTACGCCACTAGGACTCTTGACTGGCTGTTTAGTGAAGAGGGGGCCCAGCAAACACCATCTCCAGTTGCCGGTAGATTCTCTCTCTAACTCTCACAAGCTCCCTGCCCTTAGAGTTTTGCTGTGGGTTACCATTGCACAGCTCCATGCAGCATATAGATTGGGTCAAATTCTAATTATTAGTGACTTCACTCTACTACACATGCACCATCAAACAATAATACCACAGAATTATCAATGTACTTAAAAATGTATTTTAAAAGCAGATATGTTATCTATAGTTTACCATTAGTTTCGTGAAAATGTACAAAGTCATTAGATTTGGAGAAGTTTCCCTGCAATGCAGAATCGGCACAGAAATAACAATCTACACTTGTTTCCAATCTTTGACCATGGATGAAAGTTTCTCAAAAGCTTCTAGCAGACCATTCCCATCTGTACCACAGCACCCACATATCTCCCACCTTCTATGCTTTATTTTCTCAAGCTCCAGATAACGAGCAATGTCTGCTGGGCTATGTGCCCCCTCTATATCTTGCATGTTGGCGAGGACAATTAGAGGTAGATTGTCCGTGTCTTCAAAAACCAAACAAAACAAATTTTCTTTGACTTCACCAAATCTTTCAGAATCTGTACTGTCCACTACAAACACTAAGCCATGACTGTCTGGTAGAAAATGTCGAATCAATGGCCATCCCTTAGCCCCCACACTAACATCCCACAAAGTGAATGACACCAACGAAATTGGGTCCAAAGTCTCTACGCGATGCCCAATACTTGGGGTAGTGGACATGGTCTTGTTGAGTTTCATCTGGTAGAGAATTGTTGTCTTGCCAACTCCATCCAATCCAACCATCACAATTCTAGCTTTCATGGGGCCCATCCTCCCACAGAATCCCTGTATTCGGGTTACCATGCTTCCCATGCTGAAGGTTTACTTTTAAGTTCTGTTAAATACAAAAAAAAGTATAACACATGAGTGAGCATTTATCAGAATTTGTGATAACTGAAGACTGTGATTTCTAAGTACTCAGTAAGGAAAAATAACAGTTGCCTATGACTGTATGGAAAAAAGAAAACATGTTCGTTAGTGCATATAAATCTTGGTTTTACATTACTAGTAATTGCATTCTGCGTGTAGGATCCCAGGACATTCTTGACAGCCTAAGGGACGACTATGCGCATGTCAAGTCACTAGGACTTCTACATTGCGCACAACCACCACCACCCCCTAAAAGAACGGTGATGCTTCCCACTATCCTCATCTATTTTAATACACAGTCATCCTGCTGTATCAATTGACATCATCAATTTCATCAAGCAACTGTCTCTTTGATAGACAGTTGCATATTGGAAAAAAAAGTAAAGACAACCGCATCTTACTGCCTCTCCACCCCCTTGATTCTGGGCTAAGGAGACACACATACTCAGACCCACCAACAATATGGAGCTCCTATAAAAGAGAGACAGATGGATTTGGACCCAAAACAAGGAGTATCTTTACCAAATTGTCAGGATTACTGCTGATCCAGCACGCAGAATTGTATTACACCTAGGTTTAAGGATAATGTCTAACCGGACCTTAGAATGGCCGGACTAAACATACCAGAGAATAGTCAAAATACTTGCCAAGGTCAGGGACACAGCATGAGGAATAGCGACAAGGAAAAGCCAAAAGTCAAGGATACCAGAAATAAGGGAAGTCAGAAGGAAGCCAAAGTCAAAAACCAGAAAAACACGATCAGGAACACACTCTCGGATAACCATCAAAGGGAAACCATGACAGGGCACTGACAGAAAGATAATTTGGGTTTAAATACCCCTCCTTTGCCTGTAATTGGCTGCCCCTGACCTCTGACACCAAAACGTGCGTGCGGGCCTATGATGTGACGTTGCACGCACGTTGGCGCCATCTTTGGTGTGGGCGAAGGTAAGTTTATTACAAAAATCAGAACCGCAGCTTTCGGCACTCCTAAGAGCGTCGCACCCGCTGGGGACTGGACTGGAGGGAGGTCGGGCAGTGATCAGCCGCGAACAAGGTAAGTATAATTTTTTTCTGTCTGCGTGGTTGCTTACTTTATGTGCAACCACGCCGGCAAAATTCCCAGGAGCCGTGACAGTACCCCCCACTTGAAGACCACTTGTCGGGTGGGCAGGACCAGGCTTGAGGGGAAACCTAGCATGGAAAGTAGGGAGTTTGCGGCCCGCATATATGTCCAAGGCAGAATTCCAATAATGATCGGCAGTCCTATAATCCTTCCAATCAACCAAATACTGCAGAGATCTGCGAGAAAACCTGGAGTCAAGTATAGAGGAGACTTCGTACTCCTCCTGTCCAGAAATAACCAAAGGAGGGGGAGGGTCAGAAGGGGGGTAAGCCTGTTACAGATAAGAGGGTTCAGTAGGGATACATGAAACGTGTTAGGTATACGCAGAGATGCGGGGAGAGCCAGGGAATAAGACACAGGATTAATCCTGCAAATTATTCTAAAGGGCCCAATAAATCTGGGAGCAAACTTCATGCTAGGAACCTTGAGTTTGATATTTCGTGAGTAAAGCCATACCTGATCACCCACCTGGTAAACAGGGTTGGCACCACGCCGCTTATCAGCATGCATTTTAAAACGAGCAGCAGCAGTTTCTAAAGCCATGTGGACCTCACGTATACAAGTCATCCATAGTGGGAATAGCAGTGTCAGAGAACACTGCAGGGAGGACAGTAGGATGACGACCGTTGTTAACAAAAAATGAACTATGTCCAGATGAGTCATGGGTTGTATTATTTCTGGCGAATTCGGCCCATGGTAGTAAACCAGACCAGTTTTCCTGGGTGCCATAAATAAAATATCTCAAATATTGTTCCAATGATTGGTTGGCTCTCTCAGCCGCGCCATATATGAGCCAGCTCTAGGGAAGAAGTATCTTTTTGAGGGGAACAAAGTAGCCATTAGAAATAGGTAGTTCCACAATAAAGTACATAAACAAATGAGACATGGAATACTGGGTTGTAATAGCCCACAAGGTAGTTTATGGGGAACCTTAGAAACCGCACAAATAGTACATGCCTCCACATACTCCCTGATGTCCTTTCTAAGAGATGGCCACCAAAATGACCTAGAGACAGCGGAAACAGTTTTATTATACCTGGATGACCAGCTGTCACATTATCATGAAACACTCTTAGTACCTCCTCTCTTTTTAGTAACGGAATAAACAAACAATCTATCTTGAGGTTTATCACTAGGTGCCGGAGTCTGAGCTGCCATTATAGCACAGAGAAGAGGAGAAGACAATGAAAGCACCGTAGAGGCAATGATACATTCCGTTGGTATGATGGGAGAAGTTTCTTGTTCTTGTTTCACCTCTAGGTCAAATTGCCTATATATGGTGTCTGCCTTAATGTTCTTAGGACCAGGCCTGTAAGTGATGAGAAAGTTAAAGCGTGACAAGAACATGACAAGATGCTCATAGTGACCACTTCTTGTCTTAAATGCAGTTCTCCATTCATGACCCTTTTTAATCCTTACCAACATTTAAGTACTCCTAAGGTTGAGATTGATAAATATCTTAGCGCCTTGGAGTCTGTCAAATAGTACTGAGATAAGGGGAATGGGATAAGCATTTTTGATGGTTATCTTGTTCGATGCCCTATAATCAATACCTGGGCGTAACTCTCCAACTTTTTTAGACACAAAAAAGAACCCTGCACCAGCAGGTGAAGAGGAGTTATGTATGTGACCTTTAAGTAAAGAATCTTTGATGTAATCCTCCATAATCCTACTCTCCTGTGGAGATAAGGCATATACTGTTGCCTTAGGAGGCATGGTGCCAGGTAACAGATCTATGGATTTGCTTGCATCAAAAAATCATAGATATAAGAGACTAATGAGAATCTTTTTTAAAAATTGGGCAGACTAGATGAGCCGAATGGTTCTTATCTGCCGTCACATTCTATGTTTCAATGTATCAATAGTCTCTGTTTTTGTAGAACTAATATGAAAAGCTAATATGATGGCATGTACTTTTGTGAAGATTGTTTAAGTGCAATAAAGTTATTGTATTCTGATCCCAGAGTCACCCTCTCTCTGCTGAGGTAATTTCCTGTGCTGCTGTCCGCAGTGTCGATGTGAAAACACTTCTTCGAGAAATCCTCCCACAGAGCACAGAGTGACAGAGCAATGAGCAAATTCCATTCACAGAGTGTTCATTGGTTGCCAGGTAACCATAAGGTGCAGCCAAGAGAGATGAGCCTGTAAAGCCACTGCTCATGTATATATAGCAGAGCAGCATGCAAGACACAAACAAAGCTACTACAGACAAATACGTAGATCTGCAGAAACAGAATCCGGAAAGAACATCCACTGTGAATCTTGGGTATCATCCTGAGCAGTCTCCATTACGCTCTTATGGACCTCAGTGGAACCGAGGCTCATATCCTCCTGGTGGGTCTCGATGCAGCTGGGAAGACCACAGTTCTGTTCAGGATGAAGCTGAATAGGGCTGTCTGCACTATCCCTACAATTGGATTCAATATGGAAACGATTGAGCCCATTCGTAATGAGTCCTTCACCGTCTGGGATGTCGGTGGCCACGAATTGATCCGACCGCTGTGGAGACAATACTCTCAGAACAGACATGGACTGATCTTTGTGGTGGACAGTGCTGATTCGGAGAGATTTCCTGAAGCAAAGAGTGAACTTGAAGCCATTCTTGAAACTGATGATATGAGAGGGGTCCCACTTTTGGTGATGGCCAATAAGCAGGACCTTCCAGGTGCCAGGAAAACACTGGACGTAGCCGAGGCACTGGGACTGATGAAGATACAGGATCACCAGTGGCATATCCAGGGATGCTGTGCTGCAACAGGGGATGGATTGGTGGAGGGGCTGGAGATCTTCACCAACATGGTGAAACAATTCAGAAGCCATACTGAGTTGGGAGTAAGAGCATCTTGTCTGACTTGAGTGCATGCTCATAGCAAAACTCAGGTCTGCATTTTGGCAAACAGCACAAGCTGTGAGTAAATTTACATAACTGACTGGTGGCAAATAAAAGAGTGCAAAAACATTTTTAAAAATGACCTTTCAGCTCACGTTGACTTTTCTAACTGCTGAAAAACTACATTGAAAGGTGATGGAATGGGAACCGGAACGCTCGAATTTATGGTCCACAGTTTGGACTTATTTAACTTTTACACACTTTGTTGGCAGAATTTTGCCAGAGATTTAGGAGAATGAAGCAGAAATTGAATGATTCTATAGAATGTGCATAACAATGTTATACCATGTGCCATATTTTTCATATAATGTTGCATTAAATGTTATTGTTAATTTTACAAATAAAATCTATAACTTTTTCCACAAAGAAAAATAATATAATGTTCATCTCTGAAAATGTTTGACAAAGGAGTATATTACCTATACAAGGAGTTAAAAATCAAATAGAAAAATTTAGAGCAAAAATTGCTAAGGTAGAAATAAATATCTATCTTTGTTGCAATAAGTTGATTGTGAATTCTCAGTTTACTGAATAGAACCATAACTATTTTGTAGTACTGCAGATGGCCAGAGAGGGCACCTTGCACATTATTTTCCTCTCCAACTCTTTAAGAGTCTGATCCACAATTGCTTGCATGTCAGCAACGCTCTCAAGTGTCCCAATTTAGGAAGGACAGTCCCTATATTGGGCCCAAATGCCTCAATCCAAATGTTGCTGCTCTCTAGGTGTGTCTGGGTGTATAATGGAGCTCCACAGGAATATGAATAAATGTGTCTTACAACTATTTTATTTATTTATAAAATATTTTACCAGGAAAGATACATTGAGATTTCTCTTGTTTTCAAGTATGTCCTGGGTCCACAAAACAGTGCATTGATACATTATGGTACAATAAAATACAAAAACAAGGGGGCGGAGCCTAGCTTCCAGGCTGAGCAGATGTTCCTGGACAGAGCTCCTGGGAAAATAGATGCTTTAGGGGAAAATAACCCCCCAAACCTGGCACATCTGCCTCCTGGAGGGCTATCAGCAAGAAGGGGACACCCGGGTGAACTCATCGATACCTGACTTACCTTTATCACCGCCCGGGACCAGAGATACCCTCCTGAGGCCTACCGAGCTCCGAGCCGGGGTGAGACGGCCGCTCTCCCCGCTCAAAGGACCACACAGACACACACACCTTTGGACTGGGGCGGATATCCCGGTCTACTCTAAAGCGTCTGGAGCAAACCGCTTAGACCGGGTCTTCAGCCTCAAAACTTGAGGTTACTTACAGCTTATGTAACTCAAGATGGTGGCTGCTGACCACAACCTGTGCCACAGTCAAGGCCCCATACGCGGGGAAACCACAGACACCCTGCAGCGCTTGGAGGAAATTTTTCTCCGCTTCTGGGAGAAACTCTGGGAGCAGGAACAGAAAACGGAGACCAAGCTACAATACCTGAAAGACAGGAGTGAGCAAGGCCGCATGCAGCGGGGTAGGAAGGTGTCACCCTCGGACGCAGCGCCTGTGGAGGCATCCAAGCGGCAACAGACCATCAGGCCCCCCAGCGCTCACACAAGTGGAGGGAACTCAGCCTCTAAGAACCGAGTTAGTGGCAAAGAGATGCGGACCTTCACACCAGGCTGCGGCTGGAGGGACACCTACATCCGAACCTGTATAGCAGCGGCACGCCAAGACCCACCGACAGACTCCATGTGTTTCCCAGCAGAGGGAGTTGGCTGACTGGGACAGATACACGCATACAATCCCATGTCTCCAGTGATCAGCTACACATACCCGTGGACACCTCACACAGACATGTGGATTCATCTCCCAGGGGCAATACCTCTTAAAGCCTCAGGTGACTTTCTCTCTGAGCTCCAGACCGTAGTGCAAAGAAATGGTTGGCAAAGTCTGATATGTCTGGCCAGTCTAATACTCCCACAGACTCACACTAGGTGGACACAATCTCATATAAGTTATAGCATATGGCAACCTAATATGTGGACTTGAGAACTACCCTATTCCTCTGCAACTTTCCTTCCAGGCAAGGATCGTCCCCTCTAACTATTCCACTGCAGCTTTCCTTCTATGCATAGTATGATGCAACCCTTCTCCAGGCAGGGATCGTTCCCTCTGCCTATTCCACAGCAGCCCTTCTTCCAGGCAGGTATCCACCTCTGCCTCACTGGCCTAGCTCTCTTGATTTATCCCAGAGCTAGTGGGATCGTGTAGCCAGCCAACAGGTCCGAAGACTCTGTTACTGGGATCCCCTAAAAATCCACACAGGACACAAGTTCCAAAAGGGAAGCCTTTGGGGACTAGTTCTTAAACATTTGGTGACAAACATTTAACATACAAATGAGCAGTTAAAATTAATACATAAACTACATATAACAACATTTCCAAACACAATACAAAAAAACAATAATATATACATTTAATCATGTATGTGGTTGCCCTAGTTTTCATACCAGAATTATGCAAATGTTCACACTTTCAGGGACTCCTGGGACCAGGTCCATAGTCTGTGGGTCTTTGGCCACTCCAGAAGGCCATGACATGAGCGCTTCTGTCACAATGATTAAAGTCTTTTTAGACACAGTTCTTTACAATGTATATTAACACACTGCCCATGTGTCCCTATTTAGGAGGAACAGTCCCTATTTTGGACCCACATCACTCTGTCCCTCTTTTCTATCCAAATGTCCCTCTTTTCTAGGAGCTCCATAATTTTGGTGTCCCTGAGTGTATACCAGAGCTCAACAGCAAAAATACTCCCAATAATGTGGCTTTAAACAATATATAAACATCAATAAGTGGATTTAGAAATCAGTCTGTTTAAATAAGATACATTGTTCTTGTGCTATATTGCATTTTAGTTGCAGACATTATTATCAGTAAGATACCTCACTTTCCTGGACCAGCTGCTTGCTAAAGTGTCTTAGAATCGACAGTCACTGTATTCAAGGAACTACTATGAAAAGAAAACATATTTGTATGAACTTTTGTAAACATTGTTTCAGTGCAATAAAGTTATTTTATTCTGGGCCCGAAGTCATCTTTTCTCTGCTGAGGTCACTTCCTGTGCTGCTGTCAGCAGTGTCGATGTCAAAACACATCTTTGGAATCCTCCAACAGAGCACAGAGTGACAGAGCAATTAGGAAATTCCATTCAGAGAGTGTTCACTGGTTGCCAGGTAACCATAAGGTGCAGGAAAGACAGATGAGCCTGTACAGTCCCTGCTCCTGTAAATATAGCAGAGCAGCATTGAAGACACAAACAAAGCTACAGACAAACACTACAAGCAGATCTGTACAGACAGAATCCAGAGAGAACGTCCACTATGGGTAGCTTCCTGAGCAGTCTCCAGTCTCCCAAGGTATTGCAAATGGGGTATGTCCAGTCTTTTTTAGTAGCCACTTAGTCACAAACACTGGCCAAAATTGGCATTCAAATTTGTTTTTGTTGTTTGCATTTTTCTCACACAAACAAATGTTAACACTAACTTTGGCCAGTGTTTGTGACCAAGTGGCCACTAAAAAAGACTGGACATACCCCATTAATACCTTGGGTTGTCTACTATTGCAAATGGTATGACATCATTGGGGTAATTCTCATTCCTGGGCTACTATACGGTCTCAAAGGCAACATAACGAATCTAGCGAATTTCAATGTGAAAAAACTGAAAAATGTAACATGCTATATTTGACCTTGTTACTTCCCAAAACACCATAAAACCTGTACATAGGGGGTACTGTTTTACACGTGAGACATCGCTGAATACAAATATGTGTATTTTATTGCAGTAACAGCTAACAGTATTATGACATTCACAGTTAACCCCTTAACGCCGTTATGGCGTTCTATGCCATCCCGCATTAAGTGGGCTTTAAAGCCGTTGCGTCGGCATAGAACGCCGTAATGGCTTTGAGCCCTGAAAAGCCCGGGATACTTACCTACCCGGCGCTCCGCTTCGGAAGGACTGCCTCACAGCCCAGGCAGCCCTCCCACAGCAAAAGAAGCCCCCGGGGGCCATGTGATCGCTCTCTAAGAGCGATCACATGGCCCCCTATAGCTGGCTGTGGATCTGCTAGCAGGGGGACTGTCGGAAATGTCAGACAGTCCCCCTGCTGGTCGGCAAGTAAAAAAAATATTATTAAACATGTTATAAAATAAATATATAATATATATATATATATATATATATATACACATATTATATATGTAACGTCATACATAGTGTATTTTAATATTAATATAAGTACATATATTAGTATTAAAATACACTTAGAATGACGTTACATATATATAATATGTATATATATATATATTATATATATAATAGATATATACACGTATAATTACAATAATAAAATTTAATATACATTATATATTCATATGTAATTTCATTCTAACTGTATTTTGTTATTAATATATATATATATATATCTTTTATGTAATTATATGTGTATATATATATATATATATTTGTGGTTATTTGTATTTTATATATAGATAGAATGACATTCTATATATATCTATCTATATATAAAATACAAATAACCGCAAATATATACACATATAATTACATTAGTATACACGTAGAATTTAAATACCTATAAATGCATATATATTAAAATTCTACGTGTATATTTAAGTAATCTTTTAACATAATTATGTGATTTGATTAATTAAAATGTGATTGACATGCCTGACAACACAGGGAGAAAGTGCAGAGAATTTAATTCGCAAGCACTATATTTGACCCTGTAACTCTCCAAGACACTAAAAAACCTGTACATAAGGGGTACTGTTTTACTCGGGAGACTTCGCTGAACTCAAATATTAGAGTTTCAAACTGGTAAATTGTATTACAACGATGATATTTTAAGTAAAAGTGAAGTTTTTTGCATTTTTTACAAACGAACGGCACTTTTATGGGCTATATTATTGTTGTAATATGTTTTACTGTTTTAAAACACTAATATTTGTGTTTAGTGAAGTCTCCCAACAACAACAGTACCCCCCATGTACAGGTTTTATGGTGTTTTGGAAAATTAGAGAGTCACAAATAAGGCTTGCATTTAATTTTTTTGACATTGAAATTTGCCAGATTGTTTATGTTGCCTTTGAGAGCGTATGGTAGCCCAGAAATGAGAATTACCCCCATGATGGCATACCATTTGCAAAAGTAGACAACCCAAGGTACTGCAAGTGGGGTATGTCCAGTCTTTCTTAGTAGCCACTTAGTCACAAACACAGGCCAAAGTTAAAATAAAACCTGTTAATGGGGGGGTACTGTTGTACTTGAGAGACATCGCTGATTACAAATATGTGCATTTTTTGGCAGTAAAACCTAACAGTATTATGACATTCACAGCTAAAATGTCAGACGGAAATACAAATGTAAAACAAAAATAATCCTATTTTCTCACACTTTTTAAAATTTTATTCATAATAAATTATGTTCCATATATGAATAGTTAATGATAAATTAAAGCCCTGTTTCTCCTGAACAAAATGATATATAATAAGTGTAGGTGCACTTAATGTGACAGCGGTGAATTACGGTTGAACAGACATATAGCGCAAATTCCAGTTTTTGTTTACGTTTTGTTTTGATCAGAACGTGCACTATTGACTCCGTCCTGAAGGGGTTAAAATGTGACGTAGAACTAAAAAAAAATTTTGTAGAAATCTTATTTTCTCCCATTTTTACATATTTTATTCAAATTAAATTATGTTTCATACCTAAATATTTGATGTTAAATGAAAGCCCTGTTTCCCTTGAATAAAATGATATATAATAAGAGGTGAGTTAGGGTTGAACAGACATATAGTCAAATTCCAGATTATTTTTACGTTTTGTTTTGATCACATGTACTTTTGGCTCAGTCCTTAAGGGGTTAAACTACAATACATGTGTTTAGAAATCAGTTTGAAATGTTGGGAGGTATGGTTTAAGATGACAGCAGTGGAGTCCATGATTTTGTATGCATTGTTTTCTAGCAATAAAGTTGTGTGCATTCCTGAGGTTATTGGCATTTGTTGCTGTCGCTTCCTGTGCTGCCTTCAGAATTGGTTGTTGCTGAATCTTCCAGCAGAGCAGAAAGTGACAGAAACGAGGAAATGCCTTTCAGTCTCACCTTTCTAGGTCACAGATAATCAGTGTTCAACTAAAAAAATATTGGTTCACAGACAGGGGAAGACTGGCAAGTGGGCAGTTTCCCCCCCTAGCTACTTGCATGCAGGAGTTATCAATCTTTGTAAATAAGATACATTGTTCTTGTTCTGTATTGCATTTTAGTTGCAGAAATTGTTATTAGTAAGACACCTAACTTTCCTGGAGCCGCCGCTTGCAAAGGTGTCATAGAATCAAGTCACTGTGTTCATTGAACTAATATGAAAACCAAACGTGATTGTATGTAACTTTGTAAACTTTGTGTCAGTGCAATAAAGTTATTGTATTCTGGGGCCAGAGTCACCCTCTCTCTGTTGAGGTTACTTCCTGTGCTGCTGGCAGCAGTGTTGATGTCAAAACACTTCTTCAAGGAATCCTCCAACAGAGCACAGAGAGAGTGACAGAGAAATGAGCAAATTCCATTCAGATAGTTTTCAATTGTTGCCAGGTAACCATAAGGTGCAGCCAAGAGAAATGAGCCTGTACAACCACTGCTCATGTATATATAGCAGAGCAGCATGCAAGACACAAACAAAGCTACTACAGACAAATACGTAGATCTGCAGAAACAGAATCCGGAAAGAACATCCACTGTGAGTCTTGGGTATTATCCTGAGCAGTCTCCATTACACTCTTATGGACCTCAGTGGAACCGAGGCTCATATTCTCATGGTGGGTCTCGATGCAGCTGGGAAGACCACAGTTCTGTACAGGCTGAAGCTGAATGAAACGGTCTCCACTATCCCTACATTTGGATACATTGTGGAAACGATTGAGCCCATTTGTAATGAGTCCTTCACTGTCTGGGATGTTGGTGGCCACGAAAAGATTAGACCACTGTGGAGACATTACTCTCAGAACAGACATGGACTGATCTTTGTGGTAGACAGTGCTGACTGGGAGAGATTTCCTGAAGCAAAGAGTGAGCTTGAAGCAATTCTTGAAAATGATGATATGAGAGGGGTCCCACTTTTGGTGATGGCCAATAAGCAGGACCTTCCAGGTGCCAGGAAAACACTGGACGTAGCCGAGGCACTGGGACTGATGAAGATACAGGGTCACCAATGGCATATCCAGGGATGCTGTGCTGCAACAGGGGATGGATTGGTGGAGGGGCTAGAGATCTTCACCAACATGGTGAAACAATTCAGAAGCCATACTGAGTTGGGAGTAAGAGCATCTTGTCTGACTTGAGTGCATGCTCAAGGAAAACTCAGGTCTGCATTTTGGCAAACAGCACAAGCTGTGAGTAAATTTAAATAACTGACTGGTGGCAATTAAAAGAGTGCAAAAACATTAAAAATAAATAAATAAAAAAAATTACCTTTCCGCTCAAACTGACTTTTCTAACTGCTGAAAATCTACATTGAAAGGTGATGGAATGGGAAACGGAACTCTCAAATTTGGTTCACAGTTTGGACTAATTTAACTTTCAAACACTTTGTTGGCAGAAACTTTTGCCAGAGATTTAGGAGAATGAAGCATAAATTGAATGATTCTATAGAAAGTGCATAACAATGTTATACCGTGTGCCATATTTTTCATATAATGTTGCATTAAATTGTTAATTTTACAAATAAAATCTATAAATGTTTCCACAAAGAAAATTATTTTTTTAAGATTTTTTTGTTATAACACACAATGCACTTTATCTATAAGATGTTCATATAACAAATACCTGTTGGTAAATGAAAAACAGTTGCTAATATATATTCACTAAACAGTTGGTAAATGTTGTTACATGGAAAAAGGTACAGATTTTTATTAAATAAATAAATAAAAAATAAAATTATTAAACATTTTTTTAAAAATATGTTCATCTCTGAAAATGTTTAACATAGGAGTCTATTAACTAAACAAGGAGTTAAAAATCAAATTGAAAAATTTAGAGCAAAAATTGCTAAGGTAGAAATAAATATCTATCTTTGTTGCAATAAGTTGATTGTGAATTCAACGTTTAGTGAATAGAACCCAAACTATTTTGTAGTACTGCAGATGGCCAGAGAGGGCACCTCGCATATTATTTTCCTCTCCAACTCTTTAAGAGTCTGATCCACAACTGCTTGCATGTATGCAGCGCTCTCAAGTGTCCCTATTTAGGAAGGACAGTCCCTATATTGGGCCCAAAGACCTCAATCCAAATGTCGCTCTTCTCTAGGTGTGCCTGGGTGTATAATGGAATAAACGTGTTCAAACCATTTTATTTATTTATAAAATATTTTACCAGGAAAGATACATTGAGATTTCTCTCGTTTTCAAGTATGTCCTGGGTCCACAAAACATTGCATTGATACCATAGGGTACAATAAAATACAAAAACAATATTAATACAAAATTTAACATAGAACAGGTAGGAAATATGTAATCAGCTATGACAGGTGTATTCTGTTTTTAGATATGTTGAGAGGGATCTCTTAAAGGATTTTAGGCGTGGGGAAGATTTGAGAGTATGTGTGATGATACGGCCTTAATATCAGGGACGCACTGACAGCCTTGTGGGCTCCTGGGCAAAATCACCTCTTGGCCCCTTTACACCAGATATATATATATATATATATATATATATATATATCACACACACACACTTTCTTTTCTTTTTTTTTTTTTAAACATAAAAAACATACAATGCACTGTTCCAAATTATTACGCACAGTAAGTTTCAAAACACTTTATAGGTTGTAAAGAACTAAAAATTGTCATTTATTGTGTTTGCAGCATATTTACTGAAATCAAAAAGCTATTTCAATCAAACTTATAACAACATTTTAACTTTTTAAACATTTTAATATAGGACCCCTTATTTGATAGCAGCTTCACAAGTCTTGCATTCATTGAACTTGTGAGTTTTTGGACAGTTTCTGCTTGAATTTGTTTGCAAGATGTCAGAATAGCCTCCCAGAGCTGCTGTTTGGATGTAAACTGCCTCCCACCCTCATTGATCTTTTGCTTGAGGATGCTCCAAAGGTTCTCAATAGGATTGAGGTCATGGGAGGATGGAGGCCACACTATGACTTTCTCTCCTTTTATCCCCATAGCAGCCATTGATGCAGAGGTATTCTTTGCGGCATGAGATGGTGCATTGTCATGCATGAAGATGATTTTATTATGGAAAGCATAGTTCTTCCTTCTGTACCAGGGAAGAAAGTGGTCAGTCAGAAACTCCATATACTTTGCAGAGGTCATCTTTACACCTTCGGGGACCCTAAAGGGGCCGACCAGCTCTCTTCCCATGATTCCGGCCCAAAACATGACTCCACCACCACCTTGCTGACGTCGCAGCCTTGTTGGAACAGGGTGGCCATCCACCAGCCATCCACTACTCCATCCATCTGGACCATCCAGGGTTGGATGGTCCAGATGGATGGAATGCTTGTGAGCATTGGTTAGTGGTGGCCGAATAGAAGGTTTATGCACAGTTGCAAGACTCTGGAGGACTCTACACCTTGATGTCCGTGGGACTCCAGAGGCACCAGCAGCTTCAAATATCTGTTTGCTGCTATGTAATGGTATTTTAGCAGCTGCTCTCTCGATCCAATGTATGGATCTGGCAGAAATCTTCCTCAATGTGCCTTTATCTGCACGAACCCGTCTGTGCTCTGAATCCGCCACAAATCTCTTAATAGTGCGATGATCATGCTTAAGTTTTCGTGAAATATCTAATGTTTTCATACCTCGTCCAAGGTATTGAACTATTTCACTCTTTTCGGCATCAGAGAGAGCCTTTTTCTTCCCCATATTGCATGAAAATGGTGCTCTGCCTAATAATGTGGAACACCCTCCTTTAGTAGTTTTTTCCTTAAATTGGGCTCACCTGGCAATCTAATTATCATAGGTGTCCGAGATCGTTTTCAGTGATCAAAAGAGCCCTGAGACACAATGCCATCCATGAGTTAAACTGAAAAACAAAATATTTAATCTTTGTGACACTTAAATAGAATTTGTATAGTAATTTGGAACAGGGTGGATATTAAAACACACACACGGTACAGGTACATATATACATATACATCTTTTTTTTTTAAATTCAAAATGTACATGCACAAAGACAAAATCACTACACACATCTCACTACAGAAAATTCACACTGACATATGCAACAAGCTCACTACACACAAGCACACTGATATATACACCATTACAGCTCACTGACATACACACAATGTCATTGCACACAAGTTCACTGACACATTCACAAACACAAACTCACTACACACAAGCTCACATATAGACATTCAATCTCACAATAGAAAAATCAATATCCGCCACTCACTATAAAACACATACCAAGCTCAATACAGAAAGCTCATTGACATATACAAGCTCACTGTAAACATCTAACTACACTGAAACTCAGACAGACAGCTCACTGACATATACACACAAGCTCACTACACACAACTCGCTACAGACAGCTCACTGACACACACAGCTGTTACCATGGCAATGCTCTGGTTCTTGCGAGAGTGAACTTTTACCTCAGGAGCTGCAAGTTAGAGATCACTTCCCACTAAGACCACCAGGGATTGCCTTGTACTGTCTCCCCTCCCAGGCAAAGGTAAGAAGGGAGGGGGATATAAAAATTATTTTAATGAAAAAATATATATATTTATTAATCTGATCCCGACCCACAATAACTCTCCCACACACACACACACACAGACACTACCCCCAATACAAATACACTTCCCCAATATACACATTGCACCCCATACACACACACTGCCCCCAAAACGCCCACATACTGCACTCCCATACACACACACACACACACACACACACACACTGCACCTCTCAAGCATTGTCCCCAATACACACACACACTACTTCCCCTATTCCTTTCTACTGCCCCTATTCCCTACTGTTCTGTGGCGGAACCAGCCTCGCCACTGGGCATTGGAGAAGACTGATTGCCAGCCTCCTGCCCTGTGACTATGGCCCCATGTTGAAATGCTGGATTTTCCCCTGCAAAGACCCGAAAGCCGGGTCATTCGGTACTTTCCCTATGTGAGCAGTGTTACCCCAGATAGCTATGCCATGGAGCCCATTCGTATAACGAAAGACTATGTGAAAGACTTTGGCTCCATGGCAATTGAACTGTATGTATGTGATCTGAGCGCCATTCAGTAATAATTTGCGCTCAGATCTAAGCTATCTGGGGATATGTTGAATGTACCCATTTTATACAATCGCTGCACAGTTATATATTTTTATGTATTTTATTGTATTTTGCTACCATGTGGCTAATGGAGTTTTGCCTCTGTCCTTGGAGATAATTGGATTACTTCCCAATTATCTCCAGGATAGAAGACTCTGTGGAACTGGTTTTGGGCAGAAAAACCATGCTTCATTTTGTCAAATAGGACTTTCCCTTAACTTTTTAACCCCTGAACCGATTGCCCTGATTTTTGAGTATGTGTATATTTCAAGCATGCGGATTCTGAAAATGTATGTTTTATGTGAATGGCATGTATATTTTGGAAGTTATTAATATTTTGTAAAAACTATTTCTCAGAGGGGAGGATTTTGTGTGGGAGTGTCTGTATGTATTGTACGGATTGATTGGTTGTATTTAAAAACCCTGTGGGCAGTACTATGTTTGTGGATTGTGAATAAAAGAGGATGTATGTGCCAGTACAGGCAGTTCTGCTTGACCTCAAAACGAAGTGTCGTCTTGTTATTGGGGGAATTGGATTGTATGCTGATTGCCAGGAATGTAAGCTGATTGTATGCTTTTCCTGTTCAGCTGCTTACAGCATTCAATGCTTGAGAGCATTCGTATGCTTCTCCGGTTCGGTGGTTGTGGTGTCTGCTGCAGTGCTTGGAGTCCTCAGGAAGCGCTAGGAGCATCCGTCAACGGAGGTACCCAGGCAGGGTGCCAGGTGATCCGTTACATTGGTGGCAGCGGTGGGATGGCGTCATAGTGCGAGGTAAAGAAGCTCAGAGACACCGATCGTGGAGTTACAAATTGAGGGCAACGCTAGCACTCGTGCATCGCCCCTGGGAGCAGAGGTATCCAGCGACTTGGAGCAGACAGGTATGGAAGGCTCTGGCTCTGAAGATGATTGGCTGGCCGAGGTGAGGCAGCGAGTGGCCCAGTATGGGGATGATGTACCCATGGAGATACGCCGGGTGATCTGGAACCAGGTCACGGACGAGCGAAACACAAAGCTGGTCCGATAATTCCGGCTGGTGACAGAGCTCCTGTACTTAGACTGAGTACCTCCACCCAAGCCGCTTCCTAGCCGTTGGGAAGGGAGCCTGGAAAACTTCAGTCCCAGTTGCTGAAGCTCTTCCACACGACCAGACTCTTCTCCCTGGCAAGTATTGTTAATTCTACCTATTCCTCAGCAGCTTTCCTTCCAGGCATAGTGCACTGCAATCCTTCTCCAGGCAGGGATTGTCCCCTCTGCCTATTCCACTGCAGCATTCCTTCTATGCATAGTCTGTTGCAACCCTTCTCCAGGCATCGTCCACTCTGCCTATTCCACAGCAGCCCTTCTTTCAGACAGGTATCCACCTCTGCCTCACTGGCCTAGCTCTCTTGATTTATCCCAGAGCTAGTGGGATCGTGTAGCCAGCCAACAGGTCCGAAGACTCTGTTACTGGGATCCCTAAAAATCCATACAGGACACAAGTTCCAAAAGGAACTAACATACAAAACTTAATTTTTGGACAAAGACTAGCCTTTGGGGACTAGTTCTTAAACATTTGGTGACAAACATTTAACATACAAATGAGCAGTTAAAATTAA